AATTCTTGGGTTACCCTTAAGATGATTGATATATGTCCTCTCTAAGGCTTATTTTATCAAAGTTTCCTCACTATTGTGAGCATTCTTTAAGAATATCTCATGTGACAAGTTTCCCCTTTCAAGCATCAATATGTAGTCAGATCCAGATTTCCTAGCACGACCCCTAGATTGGATATATGCCAAAATAGTTTTGGCGAGGTCAAATTTTATGACAACATTATAGTGTCGAATGTCAAGTCCATCAGCAACACTTGTTGCCACCAATAAAGTAACTCAACCACCATGAAACCTTGTAATTGTGTCCTGCATTTGGCATGCCTGCATTTCTTGATTATTTTTGTGCCCTATTAAGTTGGCACATCTTATGAAACTAACAAAAGGAAGCTCCAATAACACTTTTGGAAATAACTCTTGTGGGGCATCCAACTTATTTTTTTCCTATTCAGGCATGGGCTTATCAAGACAATGAACTCCAAAGAACGTGTCCTCATCATACTCTTCATATATGCGCTCATCATAGATAGGTAAAAACTACGAATTCAGCAACAGATCTTCAAATTCTTCGAAGCTGGACTCGATCGACGATGGGGTGGAAGACTGATGAGGTGGCCCTTCAACCATGTATTTGTAGGTGGAAGAGATATGATCATCTGAGATGCCCTCTTCGCCATCATTGGTTCTTAAGGATTTAGGTGGAACGAGGGATTTTGAAGTCGTCATGGCAGCATACGTTCCCCGTAGTCGGATGCCATCAAAGTCCCAAACAAGGGGGCTCAAGTCATTCCTTCATTCAAGTTTTGACAATCGTTATTTGAGTCTGGCAATTTCTTGTAGAAGATCTTCAATATCAGCTTCTTGAAGTAGTTCCAAATGATTCTAGCGAGGTGACATCTTGTCGAGAAAACAATCACCACTTGTAATGAATTCCTCGACACAGAAATTGCAATAAATAGAAATCTTCAAGAAAATAATGATCTTGATAGAAGAAATAAAATCTTAGATCATAGGAGTGGGACAACAGCCTTCTGGAAAGGTAATCAGCAAGAACCACGAATATGGAAGTATAAAGAACTATGGGTTGCTTGCTGGCTAGCAGGAAGGCACGGAATAAAGGATCCGGGCTGGGAGGGTCGGCCTAGAGGCTTGGACTATACAAAAATGACTTCAGCTTTCTTGTGAACCTGGTACTTGATGCCGGATCACAGAGGATATCACGGCCAGAACAGAGAAGAAGTATCTTCTTGTTAAACTAGGAAGAAGAATTTTCTTCTTGATTCCAACTCGGATGCCCTGCTTGTGCATGCCAACACCACCGACCTATTGTGCGATCTCCCACACGAACGTACTAGCGGCCTCTTGTAGCACAACAACGGCGGAGCTTTGAAATCGTAGATCAATCTTGAAGTCCTTGGCAATCTCACACACCAATCGCAGGTTGGATGAAGCTTTGCTTCTTCTTGATAGCTGTGGATGTTTGGCGATGCCTGGAACTCCTTGGATGCTTGGCAAGGACTGGAACGTCCTTCAGAGCTTCTCCGCCAGGTTCTTCTGCCTCTTTTGCCTGGGCTTCACCACCTGGACGAACCTCCAACAAAACAAGAAATACTCTGCATGTTGATCATGGCACCCAGAGTGAAGAGCAATCCTCAACAGGACTCGAACATATACAAATACCACCATCCAGAGGAATTTAAACAAACAAAACTCTCTCCAACATCTTGTCGGCTCTGATACCAAATGATGCCGGCGTAGGTGGCGACACGACAACGAACAAGAACGCGAGAGCTGTCCGAAGCGGGTAGCTCAAACAAACTCAAGACGTGTTTCTTGGGAGGGTAACACCACATGAATTTCTTTAAGATACAGAACCCAAAAATAACAGAGTAAAAACTCAAATGTTATTCATATCTAAAATATGTTTTATTACAAGTATTGGCTATGTATTTATAGACAAATGTAGCAACATAATAGACTACACCCAACATAAGGAACATTACATATATATAGCCATACTACAACCATATGGAATTAAACTAGCCTGAAGTTTAACAAGATTAAGCTGCTCAACTCCGGCGTCATTCTATCGAGGTAGGAGGAACTTCAGGCTCGTAGTAAGATGTCTGGTTGGCCATCATAAGAAGGCGGGTTTGGTTGGCTAAACCAGTCTAGATAAATCCACCCTTCTATTGAATAGTTCACACACGTACATCTACTAATATATAGGAATATTTGTTGAACATATTTATTTATATAAAATTTAACATTTTAATCTCTCTCTCATCACATTTATGAGGATTTTGGAGGAAATTCCATCCAAATCTAAAACCCTTAATTTTGGCAACAATACTCGAGCTATAGTGCCACCCCTATCTCTAGATTAACTAAAGCAACTCTTGGTTCTCTCCCTTTTGGCACTATCATGCAAAGAGAAACTCCCACTCCTCTCCATGCCTCAAATTCAATAGCCTCTGCCCCTTAACTCCTCTTCATGTAAGCCTATTTGTTCAAGGCTTTTCTTAGCACGCTCGCTCGATCATTCAGCCATCCATCCGATCAAGAGTTGTTGTAGTGACTCGTACCATCAAAATTGTTGCCAAGTGCTTGCAATTGACCCCCTTCATCGTCCGAGCTCCCTCACAACACTGCCAACCTTCATGTAGCTGCTCCTTACATGCCAAAGCATCTTTCATATCATTGGAGAGAGTCATAAAAAATTCAACATGTTATGCCCAGCTCGTCTTGACCCACCACCAACAAACATACCAAATCGTCGTTGTTAGTTCAACCACTTCACTTACCACACTTCGTTGTTATAGAGCAGTTAAATTTAAAAGGTGTAAGCATTATCAGTCAAGCCACCTTCGATTGAAATCCAATCTTCGTGGAAGATCTCGTAGCAATTATACAAAAAATATAAATGAATCTTTTCAAGAAAATCTGTGTTCTTCGAAAGAACCAGATTTTGCCGAATAACTCAAGTAGGAGTTTATAAAAAGCTGAGAAAAAGAAACCAAACATCATAGGCGAAAACAATAAATGAAAGACTGAGGTCGCAAGGGAGGATGAAAACCCACTTTGACTTACCAAGAAAAAGGTAAATATTGTGATATCCTTCTATTTTCATTTTACTCTATTATATAACTCGTATAATAAGACTTTAATATTAATATTAAGTAATAGAAAAAGATCCTGCCAGTCACCATGGCGCAGCTAGGCCATCCTAAACTTGAACCAGATACCTCGCTCGTGAAGTAAATCAACACACCTACGATACAACCAATTGGGAGAGAATCAATAGATTCTTTTTTTGGGAGCGATTCATCCATCCTAAACCAAACGCAACATACAACTCTCCATTGTACTGTGCTGTTTAAGTGTGCTTGTTCCCCCTTCTTCCTTACCATGGCAGATCTTAGTGAAATCATTCCGATGGGAAGGCTATTCTTCCTTCTCCCTTTGTTACTGACTTGACAAATGTCATACCTCTTCAATCTATTGCTCCTAGGCCTAGGGGTTCTAGAGTATAGAGATCTTCTATTGACTCTCAAGGGAACTTCCGGGATGAAAGAAAGTAACTCGAGGGTAGTAGGTTACAGAATCCGAAGAAGGTTGTGAAGAGAAAACGATGGGATTCCATTAAAAATTGTTTTGATTCTTTGAAAAAACTAGGTGAATTTAGTAAATCTTTTTTTTGGTTCCCAATGACCTTAAATCGAACCTATTCAATTTTTACAGTGCGATGGTTGGTTATTCACGGACTGGATGTACCTACTGTTTCTTTTTTAGGGTGAATATCAGCAATGCAGTTCATCCAACGATAAACCTAATTTGAATTATAGAGCTATGACACAATAAAACTCGAATGAACAAAATGTTGAATTGAATCGCACCAATCTATGCTGAGGTTGCTTACTCATTTTTGTACTTTTTTTCTTTTCCAATTCTTTCTTTTGCTCACTAATTTTGGATATCAAATTGACTGTTTAGAGGAATGCCCAATAATCACTCAAACACAACTGTATAACTCTCATAATTTTTCTAAATAAGGGATTCACTTCTTCAAGATAGAATTCTTCTAATAGTATAAAAGAAGTAATAAAATTCTTTCCTTATTCAATAGATGCATAATTCTCTTTTCATTAGACGAGTTTTTATCTCATGCAATTTAATTAACTCTACAAGTATCCATCTCACGATGCTCTATTCTCTCAGACTAATTATAGTTTGGAAGTTATAACATAACAACATTAAATCTTCTCGAAATTTTAGGGACGTTCCTGCGGCTCGAGCCAGCATTGCGTAAAACATTTATGTCCATTTAAGTTATCAAAAATAATTATTCTTAATTCCTCCAATATTTGTTATAATAGTTTGCAAGATTCCTAAAACTTACTTTTAAAACTATCTTCCAATCCAACTAGAGAAGTAAAAATATTTAATCAAAATACCAATAACTTAAACCTTACACACCTAAATAATTATATCTTTCAACTCCATATCCACAACCACCTCAATCAAAATTTTATTGTAAGCATTTTAGTGTATAATAACTAGTAATCTTCCCCAAATATCTTTGGAGCTTTCCTTTTTTCATTTACATTCTTATATAGGCAAGTAATATTTATTCCTCTAATTATCCTTGCATTGTCTTCCCATTCAAAACTCTCTAGTTAGAAATAACAAATCTAATATCAACTTTAGACCTAATGAATCATTGCCTACTTGTCATCCAAATTTAGTCAAGTTGTGGCAAGCCACTTGCCGGAGACCATCATAGTTAATACTAACTTATTTTTCAGCACAATTGGTTAAAGTTGTGACATATCACTTTCATGTGACTAACTAATCAACCCTTGCCTACTCTTCATCACAATCAGGTTTAGCCATATTTCATCACCTATGAATAACATCTTAATAAACACTTAGCTTTCTTCTCACCACAAAAAATAGAGTTTGAAGTCATTACAAGAAGTCTAGTCATAATAATGAAGACAATGATAAACTACATAAAGAACATGTCAAGAGGCTACCTCATCTCCTTTCTTGATGCGCTGCCCTGCATTTATCATTACTTCAAGCATACGGTCCTTAAAACGCCAATGAAAGAAACAGTTTGGCTGAAACGAGTGATTCAACATATCTACAATAAAGAATAGAACCAAACAGAAAAGTTGAAATAACAAAAAATACACAACAAGGACCATTCAGATCCAACCAAAACAACCACGCAAAGTTATAAATCTGACATAATCCTATGGACGTATAAAAATAAATGTAAAAATGATACATCACCTACCTAGAAACAACATAATTATCATCAGCATTAGCCTAATCCCAATAGCAAGGAACAATAGAAATAATCATCAAGTAAAACAAAAAAGAAAATGCCCAAAATGATCCCCCGACTATTAGTAAGGGCCCAATTTAGCCCCAAGTTTAAGATTGTCCAAATTTAGTCCCTTAAATTTTGTTTTCAGCCCTGGTATTAAATTGGATAAATTTTCAATAGTTGAAGCTAGTCGAGAGACTAAATTGAAACTTTGTAAAACTCTATGATTAAATTTGGCACTAATTAATAGTCGGAGGATTATTTTGAACTTTTTTCCTAAAATAAAATGTTTCAACTTAAGTTAATAAAACTAGAAATAGCTCATTAGTCAAGTGTAAACATAGAAACTTGTGTATGAATACTTGAGGCGAATGCAAAAAAGCCCAGAAGAAATAAAATATTTCAGCAAATGATATGATGAGACGCAAAATTCTTAGTTAGAGCATCTGAAGGGTCTAGCAAGAATATTGACACTTGTCAACATTGTTGAAAGAATTGGCATCTTCAAGCCTACAATAAAGGCACTTAGATAGCACATCCTATTACAGTGAATCACAGTTTGCATGAAATATCTTGAGCACTGAAGACCAGATAAAAAAATACAAGTATATGATAAACTTTGTATTAACTGAAAACTTATGTTGCTAAAGGAACTATACAAGAATAAATGAATAAATAAACAGTAGTTCATTTACATGGAAAATCAGTGGAAGTGTATATAAATTGGGCAAAACTTACCAGCATAAGGAACAAGCATGTTAGTATTCTGCACGAGTGCACCAATCCTTATTTTCATGCTAAGAGAGCGTGACTGAGCAATACTTAATGCCCAAAGAAATCTTTCAGGGTCTTGAGATAGTCGCTTTATCTTTAATGGAGCAGAAGAATGCTGACCATCATGAAAAAAGAAACAGACAAGTTAAATACAGAATCAAGAAATATACTATTTAACCTTCGACAAATGGCATCATACCCAATTCTTTTCCCAAAATTCTATGGCCCGTTGAATATGTTGTTCCATTTTTGAAGCAAGGACTGGATCCTGTAGCTCCAGAAGATCTTCCTAGACAATATGCAGCTCTGAGATTATGTGTTGAGTTCTAATGTGGATGATAGTTTAATAATGTTATTAAGTAAAATCTGCTAGGAAGAGCATCATTGAGTCATGAAAATAATTTATGAGAGTAAATAGAATAAATAACATTTCTGCTAGCGTTCATATCAAAAGGGCCTTTGGAGTGGTTTTGTTGCTGGCTGCTATGGAATGAAAGGAAAAAAGTCAGTTTAATGGGCTTAAATTCTGAATATAAACGCAAAAAATGACAAACCATTATGTTTCAGCATTTCCCGGTATACAGTAATCACCGCCTTAAATATAGGTAGGCAAATCATATATATAGTGTGTGTGTGCACGCGCGCTCCAAAAAGTTAAAGAATTCACATGTGTTCTGTAATCTGAATCACATAATTCATTTCTTAGGACACCTAAGAGGGATGTTTTGCAATCTAGTACATGGTTTTCCTGTCAATAGTTTTACATAACTAACCTATAGATGGAGCAACATTGATGCTTGTTAAAAAGAACGGCTGAAAAGCTTACCTTTTGTTATCATACAGAAGGATAAATATATTTAGTGCTACCTAGAGTACTTACAGAATTTATAAATTCTAAGAAGAGTTTTTTCTACTTATAACTACATAATTTCAAAACATTCCATAAGGCATTCATCAACATTTATCCTCAAATTAACTGCAGCCTCCGGCCTATAGCCATCGGCTATCACCTTCCAAAACATTGCAATACGTGTGCTATCACCCTTCCATGTTCTGTTGTAGCCAGCTAGTGGGCCAACCATCATATCTATTGTCATTTCGATCCGCTAGTCATCCCATCCAAAATCAGTTGTTGCCTGCCTTGATTATCCCTTCTGTTGCGCATACCAATTCTAGAACCTCCTGGCGCATACCAATTCTAGAACCTCCTGGCCCTCTAAATCAGTTTATGCTGCCTTCCATGATTATTCTTACGAAAATCTGCCAACCATATTTATTCCTTATATTTCTGTGAGTGATTTCCAGCATTTGAATCTTCAAGGCTCCCCCTCACATTGATTAGTAAAAGTCTAACATTCCCAATTTGTCTAAGATATTTTTGAATATAGAATTGCAAGTAGTAGCTGACCACCAGTTGGAATATAAGAAGAGAAAATCAACCTAATCTCCAATTTTTCTTTTATGAACTATGTCTACTTCCATATATTTGATTTGATCATCTTGTAGCAGATTTTGGGCAATGCTATTGGCAAACTTGTTATCATAGTATATCTGTATAGGTCCTTTCCATTTGATCTTCAGGTCCTCCAGGATAATTTGTTATCATAGAAGTTGGCAGATAACTTGAGCAAATAATCTGAATTCAGATTATGCACTTGACCTTGAGACTGCAAGTTGTTTATTACTTCTCCATGTTATAATATTTATTCCTAGAAATGTGAAATAGCCTAAAGTTGATCTTCAATCAGCAGGTAATCTCACATAATGACCATCAGTCTTCCCTTGTTAAAGTTTCACATCTTTTGTAAAGAATCCCCTTCCTAGGATTTACTTTTAGATACTTGAGAATTTTATAAACATCTTTGAAATAAGACTCCTTGGGGTTATAAATAAATTGACTTTTAATAATTACTACAAATCCTATATAAGGATGAGTGTGAAATTGATAGATTAGTTTTTCAACTCATCTTTGATATTACCGTTTATTGATTTTTGTTCCTAATTCATCAATGTCTAGTTTCTAGCCAGACTCCATTAGAATTTTACATGCCTAGCAATTTGTACTATATGTTTCTTTTAACAAACCCACAATATATTTCTATTGTGAGATAAAAATCTCATTTTTGTATGGAGCCACTTCAATATCTAGAAAATATTTAAGCTTGTCAAGTTATTTAATCTCAAATTATGTAATAAGTTTTTTTCTAGATAATTCATTTTCTTCATTATCATCATATGTTACAATTATATCAACATATATAATAAGAATTGCCTCTCTTTCATTAGCTGAATTTTTATAAAAGTGTGTGTGATCTTCTTGGCTATGTCTATATCCCATTTTAAGCATGGCTTTTGCGAATCTTCCAAATCATGCTTATGATATTTATTTCATGTTTCAACTCGTATAGTGCCTTTTTAGCCTACATACTTTGTTTTATTTGAAAAGGAATTGTTGAATCAATGTGGAGAATCTATATAAACTTATTCCACCTCACCATGTAGGAAAATAAATTTAACATCATATTAATTCATTAACCATCTAAAGTTCGCATCTAAAAAGATAAGAATTCAAATGGTATTCATATTTACAACTAAAGCAGTAAAAAATATATTTAACATCATATTAATACATGAACCATCTAAAGTTGGCATCTAAAAAGATTATAATTCAAATGGTATTCATATTTACAACTGGAGCAAAAATTTTCTGGTAAAATAATCCATAGGATTGCTACTACTTGAGACTTTATATCTTTTAGGCTTCCATCACCTTTATATTTTAATATTAAAACATGCTTACATCCTACTGTCTTTTTTTCCTTTAAGTAACTCAACTATTTTCAAAGTGTGGTTCTTTTTAGAGCATTCATCTCTGCTCTCATAGCCTCCAAATTCTTGTCTCCTAATGCCTCAAATAAGGTTTTTGAAATTTTAATGGTGCAAATAATTATATGTTGTGCTTTATGTACAAGGGAGTTTCTAAAATGCTGCATATTTAGTTGTGGAGTATAAGATGTCATGCCACGTCAGAAAATTCAAATTAATGAGGCGGGAACAGACAATCGAATGGTAAATACAATTCTTCCTATAATATAAAGTACTTAACGGACTAACATCCAACATATAATTGAAGAGTCACTAAAATAAAATTTTCAATTCATATAATAAACCAAATTTACCTATTATCATTTGATCATCTTCTTCAGTAGATAAACTCTTTTCTTTCAGTTATTTAATTCAAAAGAGTTTCACATGACATTTTAATTCAACAAATTGAGTTTTGTAATAAACTTAGTGAATAATTATAATTATTTTGAAGTAATTATAATTTCTCTTCATTTCATTGCAATTATTGAAGGTTGTAGCATATATGTGGATTGAATGTTTAATGAATCAAATTAAGGAAAAGCAAAGTGGATAATTATGTTTATTTTATAAAAATTTCTTCTCTTCTTTTTTCATTTTTCATTATTGAATATTGTACCACATATATTTATTGGTTATGATTTATGTGTTTATTATGCATCAAATTATAGAACAATAAGCAATTAAAGTTACAATGTGATAAAAAATTTATGTATATACAGATATATATATATATATGTATGTATGTAATGAAAAAATGAAATACAACAACACCAAGCCTTTGTCCCACTACGTGTGGTCGGCTACATGAATCCTTTTTCTCAATTGTGTCCTGTTAAAAGTCAAATTCTCGTTTAAATCTAATAAAGAAAGATCATTCTAATATTTTCTAACCAAGTCTTTTTAAGTCTACCTCTACATTTTTTTAACATAAGTCAAATCTAATAACTCTACTTTCTTAACCGGGTCATCAAAAGGCCATCGTTTTATGTTACCAAACCATCTAAAGCGACTCTCTCTAATCTTATCTTCCACTGGAGCTACTCAAACCTTTTCATGTATATGCACATTTTGTATCCTATCTCTAAGGGTAAAGCCATTCATCCACCTGAGCATCCTCATCTCTGCAACACTTAACTTAGTATTATGCTTCTCTTTTAATGATCAACATTCGGCACCATAAAGCATTGCAAACCTCACCACCATCTTATAGAATTTTCCCTTAAGTTTGAGGGGGTCAAAAATGAATAAAAAAAACATATGTAATTGAAAGTATAAAAAAGAAAAAAATGTGCATGCACCCAAATACAGAAGTTCACCGCCTTATAGTACTAGCTGGGGTCGCAACGTACCCGTGCATGTCAAATGGAAATGAAAATGATTGTACTTTCATTGGTACAAAATTTGACGGTACTCCTGTAATAAATAAAAAGGGGAAACGAGTAAAAGAAACAAATGAATAAAATTATTTGAAAGGAAAATAATTGGAATCTACATTTATAAATGAAAAGTTCGAAAATAGAATATGACTGCTTAGTCTGCTTTTATGTATGTTTAATTGCTATATTATAAATTGTAATTATCCACTAAATTTATTTACAAAACTCAAATTGTTAAATTTAAAATGTCAGATAAATCTCCTAAATATTAAATTATTCAAAGAGAAGAGTTTGTCTACAGAAAAAGAGGAAAAATGATAATAGGAAATTTTGGTTTATTATATATTCAAATTAGAAAATTTATTTTGGTAGCTCTTCAATTATATGTTGGATATTAGTTTTAAAGTGTATTATATTATAGGAAGAACTGTATTTATCATCCAATCATTTGTTCCCGCCTCGTTAATTCGAATCTCTAGGCCAAATTGTGACACAAGGGCTATTGAGAACAATTTCTAACACCTTTCCAGATTATAATAGGTTGCGAAAATCACTGTTAGAAGAAATAGGAAGGTTACCTAATAAGGGCTCCGAGCCTTAAACTTTTGAGAGAGTTTGGATGAGCACAACCTTCTTGTATAGACTAGAACTGGTAAATTAGTGTAACTATCAGTTTTGATAGGATAAAGTTGTTGTTCATGCGGATTATAATAGCTGGAATGTTTGAAACATCAAGAGAAAATATGTCAAATTTGTCTTGTTTATCTTTCTTTGAATATTCTTCCCCTAAGATAAGTTGGCTAAAGAAAGATTATTTTGCATTGAATATGAATCTTTTAAAATGAAGTAATTTTTTTGAGGTCTGATTATGGCATTTGTTAAGATCAAGTTTACCTTGTTGTTAATGAATGTGGACATATCAAACAAAACCAAAAGTTTTAAGAGGAATTTCTGTGAAGAAATTATTTTGAGGGAAGAATTCGGTGAGATAGTTTAGAGGGCTTTTTGATCAATCACTCTAAAGAGCATACTATTAGTTAAATATTTATAGATCGGGATAGCTTCTTCCCAATGTCTAGCTTGTCAATTGTATTCCCCATGATTAGGTCCTAAAAACACATTGAGCAAAAAAGAATAACACCCGATAATTTTGATCTTTGGCTACTTTATAAATAGACAAAAAATTTACAACAAGGTTAGGAAAATACAATACTTTAAGGGTGAATAAAGTCAAAACATTTATATTCTCTTGTTCTACAAAAATGGTTAAGAAGCCCTTATATTGAGTTTTTATTTGCTAAGATCAAGTTGGTAGGTGTAAAAAATGTTAGCAGAATTTGCTATGTAGTCTGTAACAAATTTGCTATGTAGTCTGTGACACTTGAGCCTATCACCCAAATATTAAAGGATACATTTGAGGTACTGAAAACACAACTAAAAGCTTTATCATTTTGAGCTAGGAAGTAAGGCTAATTTGATTTTTCAAAAGAATTGAGAAAATTTCTTAGTCTATCAATTTCCTCCGAGTTAAGTCCTCATATGATTTTTCAAAAGAATTCACGTCATTTTAATTGATTTTCTTTGTATCCCATACCACAACCTTGATGTCTTTCATAAAATTTCCAACAACTTTTGGTATGCCCCTTCTTCTTGTAGTAATTTCACTATAGATTTCATTTCTAATGGAATTTTTATCCTTTAGTTGTTGTAGGTTATGGACAATTAATCCTTCACTTCAAGTATACTCTTTGGTGGCCACCATGGCTGAGATCTGTGAGTTAGGAATTTCAACATGACTATCCTTCTACATTCTTCAACTCATACAAGGTAGAAAACTTCACTAAAGGGACGATAGGACTCTTTATCCTGTTTAAACTATATATTGAGACTTACCAGAGACTCAGAGATTATTTCTTTTTCTACATATTATTTTAAAACCATGACATCATCAATGCATTACATAATGAGATATTAATAGTAATCAAACTCCAACAACAAAAAAACTTCATAGCATTGAAGTATTCAATGATAGATAAGTTATCTTGTTTGGTAGTGAAGAGTTTAGTTTTGATTTCAAAGAGGACATCATTCTTAATCTTTGAGTATTTCTATCTCACAGCTTGCCATAATTCATTTAATATTTTAAGGAATGTGTAAGGCCTAGTGACTTCTACCATCATGGAGTTTCATGGCCATCACATAACCATGGAATTATCTTCATTTCAAAAGTTGAACTTTGTAGGACTTAATGGAGGATTTATCAGGTGGTATATTTTTCACTTTCCTTTCAATTAAATTTTCATAATATTTGACCGCTTTAAATAATTTCAAACAATGAATCGTTTTGAAGTTTCCAGATTTTATAGTTCTCCTTTGATTGGAATTATCTAGTTCTTACCATTCATGTAATTCACTCCCTTTAACATTAATCAAAACTCTCCAATATGGAGAAAAAATTTGGGATTAGGCAGCAAATAGATAAAACTTTGATACCATGTAAAATAGAAAGAATGGCTGAAAAGCTTACTTTTTATTAAAATATAAAAGAAATAAACATACATAGTGTTGTTTAGAGTACTTCAGGAATCTAAAAAGAGTAATCACTACTAATTATAACAATAATTTGAAAATATTATATAAGGTAGTCATCAGCATTTATTCTTGGATTTGTTGCACCCTGTTGCCTATACCTGCCATGTAATATGTGTCTTATTACTTTGCAGTTTTGTTGTAGCCAGTTGCTATGCCAACCATCATATTTATTACTATTGTGATCTGCAAATCCTCCCTTCTAAATCAGTTGTTGACCACCTTTATTATCCTTGATGTTGTGTGCGTCAATCCACGCATTTGCCAGCCTTTTTCCTTCAAAATATTTTGCTACTACCTGCCTATTCCTGCCAAGCCTGGAGTATGCCAGGCTTCTTTATTCGTTATTCTACAACATGTGATTTCGTACATTTGAATCTTAAACATTGCTCGACATCTATATAAAATATGATTAAGCAGTTTGTTATATAGTGTGGATTAAAAGGGGATCAAAGTTGGGCTTAATACACTAATGATCAAACTATTTTTAACTCAAAATTAAGCTTGTGAATGAAAGACAACTACTAGTGTTTCTAGACTATTAAATATTTCAATTATCATATGTGAGACTCAATCCAATACTCTCATGTATCTTAACAAATACCTCTCTCACATGAGAACTCTCAACTCTCCAAGTCAGTCATCAGTCCCCTTATAGCAAATTTTTTTTAAAATAATGAGTCAAGAACACAAGCCCACCCAATTATGTGCAGCCTGCAGAGGCGTCACCACTATTGAAACTTGCATGATCAAGACAAGTTTAATAAGACCCATAAGTCATAAACTGTACAAAAGACCTGGCAGACGAACATTTGGAGGAAGTGTGGATCAAAGGAGGGGCTAGATACATCAATAGTAAATCTTATTTTCAAACAAAAAAAAGCCTATAAATGAGGACCAACCTTCAATATTTCTGTGCCAACATATTAATAACTTACACAATGTGGGACTATAGTCAATATTCTCGTGCGTCTAAACAAATCTCTCCACTAAGTACCATAACACTACTATATTTCTAACATAATTACTGCAGACATCCCTCGTTTTTAATGTTAGCATATAAAGCAGCAGTTATATTTGCAATCAAATCTGTGAAAGTCTATTACATGATAACAACCAAAGTGATCTCTCAGTTTTCCCCATATATCCTTTTTTTTCTTTCTACACGAGTATATATAATATAACTAATTTCATCGAGCACATTTCAACTCTCCCTTAAATCATGGCACTTAATAAGCTACTCTTGTTACTTTAATTTTAGCATGCCTTCCAAAAGAGAGACGGAGCTTGTACGCAGAGGCATTTCCAGCAATTGCAGAACCATTAATTAATCTGCAAGCATTTGTGATAGGAAGATATAAAAGTAGAGCGAAAAATAATTCTATTACAGTAAAGTGTGTAATTTCATTTATATCAAATATTCACGTTGAGCTGAGAAACAAACCTTCTCAGCCAGAAGCAAACTGGTGCATTCATCTGCACTAGGTAAAAAGTCGCCATACAACTGCCAAAAGTTGCCTTCTACATCAAATGCAAACAATAGGAGACAAGCGAGCCTCAGATCCCAATCTGTCTGAAGAAAGAACATGAGAAAAAGAAATATTTGTGGTTCACTTTAGAGTTCAAAGCTTTGCAGATGATGACTGCAGGCCAACTATAGATTTTGCAGTCACTGCACTACTGATGAAGAATGAAATAGAAATACGCAGAACATCTTCGGCAATAATACTTCATGTTCAACAGCTCAAGAAAAGTATGATAGCTGACTTAAAAAAAAAAAAAAAAAGTTTATCGTCCAAGCAAGCCATGAAAAAAGTATACCCAGAATGAATGAATAGCAGAATTTTGCTTCGCTTGTACTGAATCAAAGCTTCTGATTTAAGTCATTTGTTTGATCGGGGTTATCAGTTGATAAAGATCAAAAGCAGTAGAGAATGGATGAAGCAAATGAAGTTCAGGCTTTAGGAAGTGGCATGTGAGATGACAAATTATCAACAAAATATACACATAAAGCTTGGCAATGAATAACAAAGGAAAAAAAAAGAGTTCTGTTCTTTTAGAAATAATAGTAAATTTCCCTTACCTCTGGGTCAGTGGAGTTTATAATATCAAATATAGGATGACCAATAGGCACAATATCTGGATAAAACATCCATGGATGCTTTTGACTGATTGTCAACATCAACTCTAGAGGAATTTCCATAATCATCTGCACTAATTTAATCCATGCATAAAACCATTAAAATGATCAATCATCAATCAAAATAGTAGAATAGCATTCAGCTTTCGGATAACAGAATGGTAAATAGAAAAGATTCATCGTGAATATTTAACAGAAATGACATAGGGAAATCTACGGGTGAACAAAACCAATAACGATTATCAGAAACTTCAAGCACATGGCTAGGAAGTTGGCTGAATAAAACTGAGATGTTGAAAGATTTGCATGTAAATGGATTCTTCATAACTACTTTTAAAAAAAAACATTACGAGATTTTAGACTTTTCTTGACTAAAGTTGAAATTAACTTCATTGGTCCACTGATGATGATACAGATGTGCATAATTTAACTACTGTCTGATGCTGTATTTTATGCACAACTTACTCCACGCTACTGCAGAAAAGAGACAGCAAAGGTTTGAAACAATTCTAAGACCCTATGAAGGTGACATAGAAGATAAAATGATTTGATGCTACTTTGATGATGGAACCTTGATATATCTTCACCGTTCTTGATCTTTTAAATGCCTGTGATTTGCTTGATTTCTCCTAATATGAGGAAATTAAAGAAAATAATATTTTCAGAGAAGAAACTGGTGATTAGGGCTCGATAATTGTAACAGTACTGCAACATTGATCAGGTAGTATAGCAGTTAAGGAGGGAGAAAGCTATACCACATAGATATTGGGAGACAGGGGTGCAAGTGAACTAACACACTCAATGAACACAATACATATTCATATAAAGATTGTTTATGTTCGTTTATTTAAATAATTAAACAAGCATAAGCAAATATTTCAAAGCTCATCATATAAATGAATAAGCTTGAACAATGAACAACTTGTTCTATTATATTCGGGAACTTGTTGTTTATCAGTTAGCAAGTAGATCTCTAAGAGCTCAACAAAAAGTTCATTATAGATATCTTAATTGCTTATTTAATTACTTCTCTTATCTTCTTATGCAATGTTCTTATATTTTATGCACCTTAAAAATTTGTATGTACTATTAGAGACATAAATATAATAAAAAATTAAAAAATAATAAAAAGTAGATATATAGAATAAAATTATTTTTTATAAATATTTGAATTTCACCAAACAATATAAATAATACTTAGTGAAATAATGTAAATAATGTCATTTTAGATTAAAATTTATAAGTAAATTTATGTCTGATAATAAAGTGAAATATTCAGATCAATATAATCAAATATATGATTAATTAGACTCAATTAAAGCTTGATCATGACCCGAACTTAATTAAAAAATTAATGAAAAAGTTTGAACATGATTTTACAACTTGGCCCATTGGGTTCTGTTTAATCTTGGCGGAAACTCAAAAATAAAATAAATAAATGAGCTCAAACAAAATACTAGGTTCAACTCAATTATTTCACGTCAATTAGGAAAATAAATTGTATGAGAGAAAGGAAAGAGAAGAGAGAATAAGAGGAGGAAATATGTTAATACATAGAGGACCCATCCAAAAACTCAACCTCTCCACCACCCTTAACACCAGCATCAACCTTCGACCTACCATCGTGACCCAAGCCCTAAAAGATCCAATTGATGTTAACCCATTTCAAAAGAGTATGATGCTCTTGTTCAAAATAAGGCATGGGATCATGTCCCCAAATTCCAACATAGTGAGTGTAATTAGATATATCATATTAAGCATCTTCTTGATCGTTGTGTTGAAAGGTACAAAGCATGCTAAGTTGAAAAGGGGTTTCACCAATGTTTGGGAGTTGATTGTCATGATACTTTTAACCTAATTCCATCATCCACCTTGTACTCAGCCTAACTATTAAATGTGGTTGATCTTTAGGCAAAAAAGGTGTTAATAATGCCTTCTTCAAGGACATTATCTAAGAACATATATATGGCTCAATTACAAGGATTTATTGATCAAGAATATCCTATTTAGATGTTCGAGCTTTGCAAGATCATTTGTGCATTAAACAAGCACTGTGTACCTTGTATCATGAGTTGCGCCAATTTTTTTATTAACTTAGGCTTCATCAACTCCCACGCCAACACTACACTCTTTGCTTCAAATCTGACAGTAACCTAATCTCTCTCTTTTTCTATGTTGAAGACATTATCATTATAGGAGACAATGATGCTACAGCGAAATAGTTCATTACTCTTGGCCCAACAAGGATCTTGGGGCACTATCTTTGTCACAACCAAAGTTACCACTACCTCCCTTTCTATTGACACAACGTAGATACATCAATGACCCACTTACTCGTACACATATGATTGGTGCCAAGCGTGATGATACATCAACTTCCATCAAGACCACCTAACTTTTCACTCTGATGATAACTTGTTAAATCCCACAAAATAGGCTCATTATTGGCAACCTTCAATACTTATCTTTAAGACGACCCCACATCACCTTTTGCAATTAAGAAGCTCTTACAGTTCATGCACCAACCACTTACACAGCATTGGAATGTCATTGAGCAATTGTTATAATATTTATTTGGAACGATGGATAATGATATTATCATTCATAGTGAAGACTCCTATCATAGCATCTTTTTTCATGCTGAACAGGCAAGCAATAATGCTTACTATACCTTCATTCGAAATTACATAGTATAAATTGGTCAAAAATTAATCTAATGGTCCTCACAACAACAACATCAAGCATTCGTTCCACTAATGGTCCTCCAAGAAACAAAATATAGTTTTTTTTTTTAAATAAATATATAGTTCCTTTGTTGTGAGTGCATACACATCTATCATTGCCTATGCAACCTAAATATGTTCGATATATTCTCTCCTCACATAACTTAGCATCCACGTCCCCATGTTTCTCATTATCTATTGTGACAATATTGGTGCAACCTATCTATTGTGTCCCCATCTGTATTACAATCCATCATCATCTATGCCACCAAAATACATTGCATATATTATCTCCTCACATAACTTACAATTCTTGTCCCCATGTCTCTCATTATCTATTGTGATAACATTGGTGCAAGTCACATCTATTACAATCTTGTTTTTACTGTAGCTCAAAACATTGTACAAAAAACTACCATATCAATTTCAAAGTCGTGCATTTCATGTAGCGCGTGTCTCATCTAATGATCAACTTGCATATACCCTTAATAAGCCACTATAAAAAACCAAATTTCATGCATTAAATATCAAGATTGGCATATCCAATGGAGTGCCACCTTAAGGGGACTTATTGAAGAAATATATCATTACCATCATTACATAAACATTATAATTGTTTAGTTTCCGACTTTACTACTCTATGATTATTCAGTTTCCAACAAAAGTTTCAAGCCTACATTTGAACTTGGGAAACCACCATTTATTGTTTAGTATGCCTTTATGCAATATCAATAACTCAATAAAAGGATCAAACCATTATTACCTCTCTTCCTCACAAGATTCACAAGTTTAAACCAACAATCACTTCTGAAGTAATTATTCTATAAGTTGAATTTACGACATATCATTCTAGTTGATTAGCCTATGTCAAGGTGAAATATTTATCCTGATTATTTAGGGAGAAATTTGATTGTGAGAATTCTTCTTGGTCATTCATTCTCAAGAGAGCATGTTATGCCCCAAGTTCTAGTTTTTGTCTCCTTTACTCTATCTTTTACCCAAGTAGTTGAATAAGGCTGATGATGATGATGTATCTAAGCTTTAAAATGATTTCATTGAAACATTTCAAACCTATGGGTAAAAGCTTTTCAGTTAGTTAGTTGCACTCATTCCCAATAATCAATACACGGTAACACGCTCATCATTTACAATCCAAACTTCCTATTGGGATTACATAATAAGAATCATACTAAGAAATGGTTGTTCAATTATGCAGAGTACACAGTAGAAGTTTGGAGAAACATTGGCCAATTCTGGAAAATTATTTGACAATTTCAAGGACTCTACTCACAAATCCTAAAATATCAATATAGATTTTTCCATCCATAATCAAGGTTAGATAACAAAAAATACAGCCACTGAAAATAAATGGAACTAAAACCCAGCTAATAAACGCATAACCATTCAACCCTTAAATGAGATCAAACCCATATGCTCGGACACTCCGCATCAACCCTGTCTCATAGAAGTCGGGATCCTCCGTACATACATCTAAATTCTAAATTCTTAATTTTTTTGAACATTTAAGCCAATTAAGACAAATTCACACACACATCATATATGCAAGTTTTCAACTCAATAGCTCTTGGTAAGTAGCCAAAGCTTCCAAGCAACAGATCAAATGCGGTTTGCTCAACTATGTAGAGTATGTCGTTGAGTCATAGATGAACCCTGACCTACTTAGAATTAATTTCTAAACATTTTCATGCATTTTACTCGCATAACAAATCCTAAAACATCAATATAGGTTTTCCACCAAGAATCAGCGACAAATAACATAAATAAACACAATCAGGCAAAACAAATATGAAATGAGCTAGAACTGAAACCCTACTCACCCTTGCTCTGCGCAGAGGCTCTACATCTCGAGAAGCGTACACCCCGAAACCATTCGGCCCTTCCATGAAATCGACCCCATATGCTCGAACACTCCGTGCATACCCTATCTTATAGAAATCAGGATCCGCGGGCTCCAACTGCGGAGCAAAACGATGTAAGTATATATAATTCTTGGGGAAAAAAGAGGAATAGGGTTTGGGGTAAGGGAACGAAATTCACATCGGGAGGAAACGGCGATTCATCAACTTGTTGCGGCTCGAACAGTTTGAACGGAGGTAGCGAGCTGGAGGCACTGGCTGAGGGTATATCCTTCCTGCTGGTCCTTCCGAGAGGAGACTGTCGAGTAAGGTCTACGGTTCTTGGCTGCGAGAGAGGCAGGGAGCGAGTAAAGAAAGTAGAGAGATAAAGAGAACCAAATGGTTAGACGAGAGCGTTAGGGTTTAAATCCACCTTCGGGTTGGAGAAGAGAAGAGAGGAGGAAAGAGTTAGTGCAAGGTGAGAAGCCATGCTAGTTTTTGTCTCCTTTACTCTATCTTTTACCCAAGTAGTTGAATAAGGCTGATGATGATGATGTATCTAAGCTTTAAAATGATTTCATTGAAACATTTCAAACCTATGGGTAAAAGCTTTTCAGTTAGTTAGTTGCACTCATTCCCAATAATCAATACACGGTAACACGCTCATCATTTACAATCCAAACTTCCTATTGGGATTACATAATAAGAATCATACTAAGAAATGGTTGTTCAATTATGCAGAGTACACAGTAGAAGTTTGGAGAAACATTGGCCAATTCTGGAAAATTATTTGACAATTTCAAGGACTCTACTCACAAATCCTAAAATATCAATATAGATTTTTCCATCCATAATCAAGGTTAGATAACAAAAAATACAGCCACTGAAAATAAATGGAACTAAAACCCAGCTAATAAACGCATAACCATTCAACCCTTAAATGAGATCAAACCCATATGCTCGGACACTCCGCATCAACCCTGTCTCATAGAAGTCGGGATCCTCCGTACATACATCTAAATTCTAAATTCTTAATTTTTTTGAACATTTAAGCCAATTAAGACAAATTCACACACACATCATATATGCAAGTTTTCAACTCAATAGCTCTTGGTAAGTAGCCAAAGCTTCCAAGCAACAGATCAAATGCGGTTTGCTCAACTATGTAGAGTATGTCGTTGAGTCATAGATGAACCCTGACCTACTTAGAATTAATTTCTAAACATTTTCATGCATTTTACTCGCATAACAAATCCTAAAACATCAATATAGGTTTTCCACCAAGAATCAGCGACAAATAACATAAATAAACACAATCAGGCAAAACAAATATGAAATGAGCTAGAACTGAAACCCTACTCACCCTTGCTCTGCGCAGAGGCTCTACATCTCGAGAAGCGTACACCCCGAAACCATTCGGCCCTTCCATGAAATCGACCCCATATGCTCGAACACTCCGTGCATACCCTATCTTATAGAAATCAGGATCCGCGGGCTCCAACTGCGGAGCAAAACGATGTAAGTATATATAATTCTTGGGGAAAAAAGAGGAATAGGGTTTGGGGTAAGGGAACGAAATTCACATCGGGAGGAAACGGCGATTCATCAACTTGTTGCGGCTCGAACAGTTTGAACGGAGGTAGCGAGCTGGAGGCACTGGCTGAGGGTATATCCTTCCTGCTGGTCCTTCCGAGAGGAGACTGTCGAGTAAGGTCTACGGTTCTTGGCTGCGAGAGAGGCAGGGAGTAAGTAAAGAAAGCATAGAGAGAAAGAAAATCAAATGGTTAGACGAGAGCGTTAGGGTTTAAATCTACCTTCGGGTTGGAGAAGAGAAGAGCGGAGGAAAGAGTTAGTGCAAGGTGAGAAGCCATGGGAGAACGACTGCCTGGATGAGCAGTACAATTAGCAGACTGAGAACTGCAGGAGAACGTTATCCGACTGAAGTTGAAAAGTTTGGTATATATAGGGGAAAATTTTTACGCCATGTAATTGATCAAAAATCTTCTTTATAGATATATTTAGTCAAACTCTCCCTCATTCTCCCCACTTCTCTATTTATGTGTGTATTTCAACCTCTCTCATAAGACGTTCAAATTTTATTAGGGGGTGTAATTAAGAGAATAATTGAAAGTAAAATATAGAGACCAAATGTTTCAACACTGATAATATTACCTATATATATAGTTATAGTAGATAAATAAACTTGAAATTATTTTTATATATACCAATTAGCTTGAGAAATTTGACTTTTTATGACTCAAATACATGTAATTGATCAAAAATCTTCTTTATAGATCTATTTAGAGAAATACAATCATAGTTTCATTTTGGACGAAGTTATCCAAAATGAGGGGGTAACATCTTATAATGATGGATTGTCTATTAGATGTGTGACTCATTCTAAATTGGGTCAAATTGGTTTAAATTTAAAATGATTCTAATTAGTTTGAGCATGGTTCAAATATGGTCTAAATTATTTTATCGATGGATTCATCATTTTGACTTTTGTTGGGGAAATACAATGATAGGACATTGGTGTGTGAACGAGAAAAGGGTTCATGATAGGAGTGCATTTTGGGACGTATCAATGACACACGTAATGTTTGAAGCAGGAATTCATGAGAACAGCTTATTGGGAGCAAGCATTGAATGGACCGTTAGCATGTGAAGTGGAAGAGGAGTTCGTGATGGGAGTATGTTGGGGACAAATATTGATATGATAGTCGGTGTATAAAGAAGAAGAGTTCATGAGCGGAAGCTATTTCGGACAGACATCGATGAGATCGGTAATATGTGAATGGGTTGAGGAGTTTGTGAAGGGAGCTTGTTTGGGCAAGCATTAAGAGGATAGTTGTTTTGTGATGGAAAAGAGGATTATAAAATGAGTGCTTGTTTGGGACAAGCATCAACAAGATTATTGGCATGTGCAGACGAATAGTTGTTTGTAAAAGGAGCACATTGGGGTAGACATCATATAGCTTCACGTGTGAAGAAGAAGAGTTCATGCTTTGAATTGAGGTTCAAACTATATTTAAATCAAATTTGCATTACTTTAGAGTTTAACAAGTTATTCACAAATTAAGGTTACATATTATTTAGAACAATTTCATCCAAAATAAACTTTTATATACACATTTTTGAATAAAAATATAAGAGACAACTTTGTTTAAATAGATGCAATATGATGCATATAAAGTAAAAGTTTTTGTTTGCTTAGTCGTTAAAATTTTTAGAAGTTGTTTCTAAGATATGAAATTAAATTTGGTTATATTTTCTTAGATTGATAAGCCATAAATTATAATGTGGCATGACATTAAAACATGCTCGATTATACTTTTCATACTCAACATTAAAAAAAAAAAATATTATATTGGCTTTTATTTTAAGAGGATCTATATATTTATCACATAATTATTATGTATTTACATATAACCCCAAAGTTTGATTATTTACTTGTATAACTGGTTGGTTTATGTATCAAATCAAAATATATGAATGAAAAAAAGTATATTTCACTTTACAATTGAAACTTATTTCCCTCCACCAATACTTTGCAAAGAAACTCATAAGCTTGCACACCTCTATCTTGCGCTACTACCATCTCCTTTTTATCTCATCACACTCTCTCTTTACATGTGTGTTTCAACATCTCTTTACGTGTGTCTGTGTTTTAGCCTCTCTTATGAAGCTTTCAATATTTTTGCTTGTTCTTAATTACAAGGGGGGTCTTATAAGCATAATTAGTCAGAGTAAAATAGTGGGATCAAAAGCTTAATATCTCTTACAATTTTATCTATATTTAATAATTGTACATAAAAATATTTGAAATTGTTTTAATAAATACTAATTAGCTTGGGAAATTTGGCTTTTTATATATTGTAATACATGTAATTGGCCAAATATCCTAGATATACGCTTATTTGGAGAAATATAGTTGAAATTTCATTTTGGATGAAATTATCTCAAATAAGGGGTAATCTCTTATATTTGTAGACTATTTATTAGACATGTAAGTGGTCAAAACTAGTGCAAATCAAATTAAATTCTAAAAATTTTGAATTGGTTTGAACATGATTTGAATAATAGTTCATATCTTATTGGGAGAAGGCTTTCATAGGACCACTGGCATGTGATGGATAAAAGGTTAATCATGGGAGCTTGTTAGGGGTGGCATGAATGAGAGTTGTAGCCTTTGAAGGAGAAGTTCGCGATGACAACTTGTTGGCAGGAAGCGTTGATGGGATTGCCAGTGTGTAATACCCATTATCTTAGGATTCAAGTAATCACTGTACTTTAGAATGAGTTCTTGTCTAATTTTGATGGAATCAATAATTATAAATTTTGTGGTGCTTAATGAACTATATATAAGTTAATAATTAACATGGGGGAAGAGAAACTCAAGTTCCAATTTTGCTCTAGGGGCAGCGTGGTACTGAGAGTAGCACCACCGCGACGCCAAGCTCTCAAGTTTGAGAAATATGGAAGATTTTCTTGGAGTGCAGCGCTGCTAGGAAGGTGAGCGCAACTGTACTTTATCAAAATTATGATTTTTTATAATAAAATAGCTAAATCCATTTTGCAAACCCTTCACACCAGCCAACTTACTAGAGAATAAGATAGGAGAAAGGGGAGGAGAATGAAGAGATAGATTTTGGAAGTTAAAGCTTGGGATGCGTCTGTCAAGCCAGTTATAAATTTTATGAGCTCGACACAAACTTCTAAACTTCTATGTCAGCTTTCAATTCTAGTGATTTTCTAACAAGTTTATAATGAGAATATATTTTTCTTAGATTTTACAACGTCTTCACTGTATAACATTTGTCATATTGTTGTACACTTTATCTTAGTATTTTAAATATAATAAGTTGAATTTTCATCGGCTGATTTTTCATAGGCAATTTTTTTGATATATTAAATAATTGAGGCTTTTCTAGCATTTGTTATAGTTACATAAAATTCTTCAAATATTAATATGAATATTCTTTTGAAATTAAAAATTGAATGGGAAAAGTTCAACCAGTATAATATTTTACATGCAATGTGCTTTCTAGTGTTTGTTATGGCAATTTATACATCATCCAAGTAATGTATTGAAATCATGATTATTTATTGTTGCATTTACATGTGCATGATTCATAACATGGCAATAGAAAAAGTTCTGATATGTGAAAAGTGCATTGTCTAAAATATTACAAGGGCCCTATATGTTATGTTCGAATCTTATATACCTTATGTGAAATCCAGCCTCGCGAAAAAGCGGATGTGGGAGATTATTTTGTACTAGTTTGTTCTAATTTTGACCCCACTTGTTATTAGTGGATATGGGAGATTAAAGGGAGTTATAAGCAGGCATTGGGGCATGCACATAGTCTAATATTTTAATGAAATAAATATAAATAATACTCTGAGTTGATATAATAATTATAGAAATTCTATATGAACTCTGATGAAATGGAAAAGTTAAGTATAAGTGAAACTTTGTTGGCAAGTGCTCTATGACATTTCGGATAACTCTAAGAAAGTATATGCAAATGCGTAAGTAGTAACTCTGAAATCAAGTACACTCTGTTAACTATAGAAAACTCTGTTCTACCAGCATTTTTGTTATGCTTTGCTGAATATTAAGTATTTAATTTAATTATTTTTTATTATTCTTTTAATTGGACATTGATATCTATGATGAGCAAATGAAAGAAATTTACTAAGTTGGTTCGGCTCTCTTTATAAGTTTTCTGACATCTTAGGAAAAGGAAAAAACCCAACGGGGTAGAAAAATGGTAGAGATAGGACCCTCTAGATCAGGGTAGTCTATATATTATTTTGTAATACAACCTTTAAATTCATTTGATATATATAGATTGAAGATGAACTAAATTATTGTGCATGTGTTTTTTATGAAATAAAATGAAAAGTTAGTAAATTGCTTTTATTATTTGAATTTCATAACAACTCTTGTTATTTTTGTTGATGGTTGAGTTATAACTTATAACTATATGATTAGGTTTTCAATCATTTCATTAGATTCTAGGGTGTCACATAGTGAGTCAAGGAGAAATATAGTTCATGGTGGGAGCTCAATGGGGACAAGCATTGGCTGGATAGTACATGTGTGAATTAGGACAAGAGGATTTACTGAGAGAAAACTATTGTAATGACCATACTAAATAGGTCCGGGTTCTTCTGCATGCTGGAGTCAGCAGCTCCCTCTGCCTGGATTGAGATTAACCATACACATCAACCACCATTTCGCACCCCTTTGACTCGTGTTTGTCTCCAATTGAATAAATCATGCAATTTCTCCGCCTTTTAAAACCCCTCGCCCTTGCTGACCTTCCTCTCACCATTTAAACCAAATAGAGAACTTAGGGCATCATTTTACTCTCTTTATTTCGCCCTCACAACAGTCGTCGAGCCTCCTTCTCTTCTTTCTCGCCATCTTTTCTTGGTGTCACCACTGTTGAAGATATTCGACCTCTTCCTCATTAGATTGAAAGACAACAACATATTGCTTCCTCCTTTAATCTTCTTCCTTGGTTAAGAACTGCTGGCAATAATTCATCTTCACCTTCTCACTTGATCATAAGATAACCACCAAAATCCCTCGTATTCTCCATTGTTACCTTCTCAAATGACTTGTAATTATAGTGGTTTATCACAGGCTTGCATTTCTAATGAATCCATGAATATATGTATTTGTTCATATTAGATCATAAGATTTGATTTATTTAGTGAGAGATTATTCTGCATTAATATAATTTGTTTCAAATTTTTTGTACGGCGGCCTAAGTTATTTTTGCTTCACTTATTGTAGGATTTTTTGTGCCTTTGCCCACATAGCTCTGCAGATTGAATATCTAAAAGGAGTGAAATTTTGTGTCCCTTGCTTAAAAGTAATTATTATTTATTTTGGTGGGAGAGTACACTTCTTTGTTAAAGGACATAAATCACTACTATTTGCAATAGGCTTTAGTAACTAATTTTAGTGTCAGTCATATTATTACAAACTCTTTTACTTGATGCAGATGCGCATAATGAATTAGCCAATTTCATAAATTGAAGATTATTGATTTATTATTACATAACCGTATGTATATCATTTTTTTATATTTTCATGCAGATGCTCTAATTAAATGTAATAAATATTATATTGTCAATTCATATCTTATCATGCATGAATATTCATCATATTGAAATAATAAAATTCATTGAAATGTGCTTATGGAAATATTGGAAAATTATATGCTTGGGAATATTGATGTATATGTTGGTAAAACCTTATTATTTATTGACTAGCCGGGGCCAACGGGCCCCAAGAGTAATGACTCTATAGGAAACCATTGTATTTTCTTATGTTGGTGTTTATCTTCCTAGTGATGGGTATTTGGTAAACCGACTATAGTTATATACACATAAATGTTTGAATATATATTGAACATTATTTAGAAATAATAAATGACTGATAAGTCATTTGGGGTATGAATGTATGATGATACCCAACATGATTGCATTAGAATGATATTACACGTGCAATAGTTTATTAATGCATTGGTTTTATTATCATATTAAAATCTATTATAAGAAACATAACATAACTCATGGCTATTTTGATATAGTGGCTATGGGTTGTCACTTCAGCCCTTTAATTGTTTATATTGCATGCTCCAATCCTGTTGTCATTTATGCTTTGACATATAGAAATTATTTGCTGAGTTCGATTTATCAAACTCCAAACTCACCCGTTATCTCTTTATATAGCAGGTCCTTCAGATGTATTCAGTAGATCGTAACTTCAGGAACAGATTTGCTGCCAATAAACTATTTTTGATATTTTATATTTTTTTAGAATAATGTCTTCAAGTCTGAATATAAAATTACGTCACGTAATACTTTCTTAAAATGACGAGACTGGTGATTCAATGATGAGTTTGTGAATTTTAATAGTGGAATGATTATTTTTTATTTTATTTTAGTATTTTAAATGTTGTATAGTATATAATTAAAAAAATTTCGATTGCAATCTATGGTAATTGGCCTTTATCCATTTGCCCCGCTATCAGTACCGCGGACCCAGTTGCCAGTTGCCACCATCGTCCGAGCAGAACTCCTCGCAAACCCCTGCTCCCTGGAAATCTCTGCGCATGAAAAGGAGAAAAAAATGCGATATTTGGCGCGTTCTCTCCCATGCCTACCGACTCCCTTCTCGAAACTCCCCTCCCTTTTCCTCCACACCACCAGCACCTTCTCCACTGCCCCATCCCCTTCTCCCCCTCCCGAATCCACTACTATCCTCTCCGATCACGAACTTTCTGAAGTTCGCCAGCTCCTTCCCGCTCTCTGCGACGCCGGCCACCCCCTCGATGCCGTTCGCCTCCTCGCCGCTGCTCTCCTCGCCGACCCTCCACTCTCCTCCCTTCCTCTCGCGGACCTCGCAGACCGCCTCACCTCCTTCCCGGACATGTCCGCCTCCATCGCACTTCTCACCACCCTCCGCTTCCACCCACGCCAGCCTTGTCCTCTCCCATTCTGCTCCCTCATTATCTCGTCCTACTTCCGCCGCCGCCGCCTTCGGGAGGCCGCAAAGGTCTTTGCCTGGCTTTGTCGGATCGATTCCCCGTGCAGACCTGATATGGAGATTTATCGAATAGCTGTTCGGGGGTTTTGTGAGGGAGGAAGGGCGCTTGAGGCGGTTAGGGTCGTGAAAGAGATGGTAAGGGATGGGATGTTGCCCACGGAGGAGATTAGGATTTTGCTTTGTCTGGTACTGTTGAGGGAGGCGAGGGTTCAGGAGGGGTTGGATTTTGATGATGCGGTAAGGAAGGCTGGGGAGGGAGACCGCGGTGATGGAGATGGGATTGCTGGGGTCACGGAACTGCTTGATCGGATTATTAAGGATTGGGAGGAGTAGTGCCTGGTTAAGGTATTGTATATGTCTTGATTGGTTTGGCTTCTGTTAAGATTGAAAAAAAAAAAAAAAAACAGGAACTAAATTCCTTTTCCAATACTAATTGTTATTTGTTAGTTTATAGTAATCAAATATTTGATTTAGTTATACTTTATTTAATCAATACAGTTTATCTTAAATATTATTTGATTTGACCACGATGTAATTTTTTCTTATTCAGTGACATAATAACATTCGATCACATTTTTTACTTAATGAATAATGCATTTGCTTTTATTCTAAAGTGTTTAGCTTTGATTGGATGACATATGGTTGGATTTGTTTTCATATTATTTCATATTCAAACATGCAAAACTCTATGATTGATATATATGAATTTCATGTAATGGATAAGCATATATGATATTATTGGAAATAAAACATGAACGCTTGATTTTCCCCCTCCCCTCTTACGATCCTTCGATTTGTTCCCTCCTCTCTTGCTCTCCCAGAGTTTAGGCCATTGATCAACACAATCAAATTCCACACATAACAAACCTTTTGCTGACAACATCGTCTATTCTTTAATCTTTCATGCATAACTATCCACGCCTACTCATAACCTTGGGTAGTTACTGATTTTTCTTCACAAAATCCTTCTTGCTCAATAGTACCTTGGCAAAAATTTATCTTTGCACATTTTTTTCCATGCAACCATCCCCTTCATCTCACTTTCTTTAAGATTTATCAAATTATTATTCTCATAATGATCATAATGTAATCCATTGTGTTATGGGCTCATATTATTATAATTAGTTTGGATATGGTTATTATCATAACTGGGATGATGACTATAACTAAGATAAAAATCTATAATAATAATATTCACATAATTATCTTGCCTCTTTTCATGACCTTTAAGGGCGACAAATGGCTTGTTCAAGCTCATTTAAGACCATTTATTTAGGGTACCCAAAATCCATTTTGAACTTTTTCAAAGATTTATTATGAACTTTGATAGATCGCCTAGTAAAACATGATTATGATGTAATATTCTTCTTAAATAAATATTAATATATAAATACTCTAAATTATTTTAGTATAATCAGAATCAAATTGAATATATTTAATCAATTGTGAAGCGAGAGCATTCAATTAAAAAATAAATTTGAATGATTTTTAAATTTAGAATGTTTTAAGCAGAATTTGATTCAAGCTTAATCAAAATTCATTATTTTATAATATTAATTTATAATAACATGTGATTTATTGGATAGGAGATTTTTAATGTCTATATGATGTTATGGGTCCAAAACATACCAGTTTTTTTAGCTTCATTTTAAGTAGCTTAGCCTATATTAAGAAAGGTAGAGGCAGACTTAAAAGACTTGGTTAGAAAATATTAGAAGTGATATTTTTTTTATTAAATTTAAATGAAAATTTGACTCTTAACTTGACACAATGGAGAAAAATAATTCATGTAGCCGACCCCACGTAGTGGGATAAAGGCTTGATGATGTTGTTGTTGTAGTATTTTGAGTAGCCTATTTATAGATGGTGGATTCTACATTAAGTGTTTTAAATAATAAATTGGTTCTTGGGATAGCCTTTAACCATTATAGGTGACACATTTAAGCGCACACCTATTAGGGACAACCCGTCAAGGCTTTTCACTCCCATGAGCTTATAGTTAACTTGGTTGACTTCGCAACCCTAATAACAATTATGATGATTACAGGATAATCACATAAAAATCATTTTCTTCACTCTTATCATGATGCCCATGATCTCTATTCTTTAGAACACACTGTTATTTGTTGATTAATATCATTGTTATGAATCATATCATGATTATGCATTCCATCATCAACCACATGACCATTATAGAAACTTGCATTGTGGTGATAAATCTGTTTTGGCTAATACAAATCCACCTATTCTCTTTGTGACATGATGACAACACATGCTAAAATCTTGAGGGGCATGAAAAAGAGCCTTAAGCCATAAGCTTCAACTGTTCCAATGTCTCCTTTAATCTCTTAAAGTTCTATCTTATTATTCCCATTGGTCTCACCAACCCATATATCCATCTTATTGAAGATGTTGACTAGTCACTTGATTTAGTGTTTGAGCCTAGGTTTGTGATTGTGCTCAAGCATTTTATTGTGCCTAGACAGTATCACCTATTGTCGTTTCACCTCATCTTGAGATGGAGATATTGGATGCTCCATGGATTAGTCTATTGTTGTTCTCTTCATCACCAATTATACAAATCGACTTTGTGCTAACTTGGTTTAGGCAATTTGTTGTAGGATCACCACAAGTTGTTAGTTCTTTGGCTGAAACATCAAAAGTTGTTCATGAGTAGATTTATTTATTTTTTATTTAATGAAATATTATTAGATTTTATCATTGCATGATTATATCTTATTTAATTGCCATATAATTAAATTCAATCAAATATGATTTAATTTGATTTTAATATAATTAGATTTGAGGCCATTACCCAACTCCTCTTTCTACCTCGTCCCTCTTTATCTCTCCTCTATCGCTCTCACCAACCCAACATTAGAGGGAGCGCTATACGTTGATTCCATTTTGATCAACTCCAGCAAAAGGCATCCTTTCCAAAAGGAGTTACTTTATTGCACCCTAAAGAGCCTATGTAGTGGTGTGCACTACCCCAATGTGTCTCTATAGCATTTGGATGACCTACTCATGTCTCTCCCGATAGTTTCGCATTTGTGTAGTTCGCCAATAATCATCAATCATTTAAATTCTTTCTAGTATGCATAAGTCTGTAACTAAAAGAAACACATTTTCGAGGAAGGAATTGGCCCCTGCCCCCAAGTTATTCTATCGGTTTGCATCTTTAGGCTTTAGGGAGTAACAATGTAGTTGCCCATCCCAGGTTATTGCATGGGTGTAACAATGGAGCTGCCCGTTTATTAGAGAGGAGTTTTGGTAAGGGCCTCCACTTTAGAACTAAGAATGACGATAAAATGAGTTTGATGGGGAGAGAGTGAAGGGAAGGAATCAAGCTTTTTGGTTTGTTTTTGATAATATTATGTGCGTTTATTCGTTAGATTATACCTCTATTTTGACACCTTAAAAGTCATGAAATAGGTTGAGGAAAGAGAAAAAAACTTAACAAAAAATGGAGAAATTTTGAACGAGTCGATCAATGGTCATGGGGACAAGAGGTTCACTTATGAAGTGGTAAGTAGTGTTAAAGGCGAACCAGTTGTTTGCCAAATTGCACAGGCATCGTGAGGTGAGGTCATAAAGCATCAAGGCTCTCTAATAGCTACAACTACTTTGGCGTGTCTAAATGAATTTGTTAGACCGGTCCACTGGACCGGTCTAGCCGGTCCAGGCGGGACCGGTTCACGCGTGAAATCGCAAAAAACAGCGACCTGGGCGGAAGCCGCGCGCCTTGCAAGACGGTTTCGGGAAGGAAATTGAGGGAGTTTAGGAGGAAAATTGATTGTAGGGACTGTTTAGGGAATTCCTTTTGAATTGTATGCATTAAATAGCAGATTTTCCTAGGGTTTGATCATCTTGAATTTGGCTGAAATTTGAGATTTCTTAGATTTAGGTTTTCTTTGGGCTCTTGGCGTTGCTAGAGATTTGGGAGAGAACGATCCTCCTCTCGAATTGAGGATCAATCGTATCTTGCTATTTTATTCATCGACTAGTGGAATACAAGCTTTTCTTTGAGTTTTCTCTCAGATTTCCTTGTGGTTTTGCTGTTTTTCTGCTGTAAACAGCAAATTTCTGCTGTTCTCCTGCTGTGGACAGTAGCTTTGCTGTGAATATTCGCCGATTTTGGTTAGGTTACTTGCGAACTCAAGTATTTCCTATCAGAATTCCTTTTCTTAAGGCGCTAAAGAGTGAGGGTGAGTGCTTTATATTGATTTGAGCAATGGTGCTAATACTTTAAATGCTAAAGATGAGTTAGTATTTTATAATATTTCTTTCCATGGGATACTGAGATAATGGCATCAAGAGTTGGAGAAATAAACATGTAACCTTGAAGACTAGTTAATTAAATGTGGGTGAAAGAATTTAAGTTATAGAATAGTAAATCTTGAAGATGAAGAGGATGAATTTTAAAAAATGAAGTAAGAGATGGAGGGTTATAAATCTAGTGATTAAGATGAGTGCATGTTTGATGAGAGATTATTTTGAATGTAAAGATTTAAAAGCATAATTTATTTAGTTGTATTTTTAATTAAAAAAATTAGATTCAGTAAGGGACTAATTGAGATCACTTTTATTTTGGTTTTTTATTTGATTTTTAAATTTTGTTTATGCTGTTACTTGAAATGAAAGCATTTTTGGATTTTCTCATGCAATTGTTATAAAAAAAAACATCATACTATTCATAAACTATAGACAAATCAACATAGATAATTTAGAAGTTAAGGTGTATCAATAAAATTTATGTCCAATGACGTGCAAGCAATGTTTTCATACTTGATTTTGGTTTCATTCTCGTAGCTAAAGTTCATGGCTTCATTTGGGTCCATTGTTTGGCTAGGAAAATTGGCTGGGAAGGTGCTGTAGAGAAAACATAGTTTAAATGTTGGTGTGACTGAACCTGATGATGTTGTTTGAATATCTTGATGCATTTGTGTTGTTTTGAAACTCAAATAATTTATTGTTTGTTTAGTTAACCTTTTTGCTGTTGCTATTTTAACATAAAAACGAAAGTGCCCTTCTACTTTCTAACGGTTTGTTTGATGTAAAAAATAAAATAGTTCAATAGAAAGCAATAGCAGCTGATATAAAAACATGGATTAAAATAAGTTCACACATAAATGCCTTAGAAAGAACTAGAATTATGCTTTAAAAGTCCATTAGCAAAAGATAATTCAACTACACAAAAAGTTACTCATCATTCCAAGTAGAAAACGCTAACTATACAAATTAGGACACAAGTAGTCTGGGCATTCCAACTTGTGGTTGCAGCATAGTTGTGTATGTTGGGCCTCAAATGCTTATACTTGAATCATTACAACAAAAATGAACATAAAAGTGATAATTAGTAGCAATTTATTTGCAACAAAAAGTAATGATGATTAGAAAATTAGTGTTGATATAAATAATAAATTATTAATATATTTTACCGGTTAGCATGATATAATTGCTTAGTACTATCATCTCATCTGCTCCTTTTTCATTGGCCATATTAGGATTGACATCCATTTTAGGATTTTCATCATGTTTCCCTACTTTATACTAATGTGTCTTCGAGTGAATAAAATTTTCATATGCATCACATTCCACAAATTCAGGATCAATGTGTGATGAATGCCTAGACATACAGTTACATAGTGCCATTGTGGCGACACTAATAAGATGCTTCTTGAAAGAGTAATTTTGCATATCCCTTAAATTTTCCTCTTTTTTTCATATACCAAATGTTGCTTATATCATACTTAAAAGTGATGAATGTGTCTTGCTTAATATCTCACATTGACCCTGCATGGTTTAATATCTTGTGCAAAGTCTAATAAATAATATCTTGTGACCAGATAATGTTTAAGAAATCCCTTTTGTGGAGGGTAATCAACATCAATTAAGTAAAACTTGTTAAAATGATTAGAGAACATCTGAACATATCATGAATAAAAGTATGTTTAAGAAATTCCCTTTGTGGAGGATAATCAACATCAATTAAGAAAAACTTGTTAAAATGTGAATTATTTCAATTCATCAAATATTTGCTATCAACATAGGAAAATTGCAACTAAGATCCATAAGAAAACGTTGGAAAATGTGATTGTAATGTACCTTACCTTCACACCTTGGTGCAACAGTTGTGAAGCACTTATTTAAGTCACATACAAATGTAATATTTTGAGTTGGTAAATGATATTGTATAATGTCTGCAAGCTGTTCTTTAACAGGGATGTGAGCATCATGCATGTGCCATCAATTGCCTTGAGACTATGTTAGACCGGTCATTAGATCGGCCCAGCCAGTCCGCATTGGACCAGCCCGCTTCTAAGCTACGCGGAACAAAGCCTGCCACCCATCCCTGCCGCTCGAACCGCAGGAGCCACTAGAGCTATTTAGGAAGGATTTTTGAGTGAAATTTTAAAGTATGTGCTGTTTAGAGATTTCCTTTTGAAATTTATGTATTAAGTATTATGTTTTGCTAGGGTTAGGACATCTTGAATTTGATTAAAATTTGAGATCTCTCTTAGGTTTTGGGTTCTAGCAGCGTCCAGAGATTTGGAGGAGCCGGATCTTACTCTCCAATTAAAGATCCACTTATATCTTGTATTTTCTTTCATAAAACTTTTAATAAAGAGTGTTCTTGTGTATTTTATTCCTAGTTTTCTTGTTATTAGTTTTCTGAAATTGCTGAAATCAGATTTCAGCCAAGGCTTTTCTTAAATTTCTACAAGCATTTCTTATCAAATTGGTATCATAGTGGTTTCTGGATTATTTTTGGGCTGTTTTTGGAGAATTCATGCAGCATTTTTTTCTTTTTTAGGTCATGAATTTTGCGGTTTTTGTGATGGAAATTCGGATTTTCGAGCCTAACAAAGATTTGAGGACTTATGATGGGAAGAAAGGAAAAAATATTAGAAGGGGAGATCAGACAAATGAAATTTAAATTTTGGATATTTAAACTCAAGTTCAGATTAAAAAAAAAATAATATTTCAATCATCCATGATAAGATTGATTCGAATTTTTTCATCCTGAAGGAGATGTTAAAGAATGTGCTCGAGGGCCAAACCAAAATATCGCCGTCGGAAGTGAGGGAAGGCGCCGACAGCTAGGGAAGTGGGGAAAGTCCTAAGCCAATCAGACGAAGGGAAGATCAAGAGTTGGAGATTTTGGAGGGAACAGAAAAAATGTCTTCCCTAGGGCCTATTCCTAGGGAGGAGTCGGGTAGAGTATGGGAAGAGGCAGGAGGATGTAGGGAAAGAAGGAGAGTAGAGGGGTGGGATTTGAAAGAGAAAGGGATAATTATGACCCAAGGGAGGTTGAATTTGAAAGGGGAGGGGTTTGTTATGATCCAAGGGGTGCTGAATTTAAAAGGAGAAGGTGAGAATTTGATGAAAGGCTTGGGTATGAATGTAGAAGGGATGATTGTAACACTTGAGGGGAACCACCCTCTTTGGGAATGGAAAATTATGAAGGGAACAGAGGGAGCGGTGGTGATATGAGGGTGAGGAAGTTGAGGATGCCTATTTTTTAAGGAGAGGCCCATGGATGGATCTACAAGGTGGAAATGTACTTTATCGTCAACAGGTTGACAGAGGGGGAAAGATTGATGGCAGCCGGGATGTGCTTGGAAGGGAAGGCTTTAGCATGATACCAGTGGAGGGATACGAGGCGACTAATACGGACTTGGAGGGAGTTTAATGATTGCTTGTTAGAACGTTTCCAAACCAGCAGGGGAGGGGACTTCTATGAGTAGTTCTTTGCTTTTATGCATGAGGGGATAGTGGTGGAGTACCGTGAGCAATTTGAGTACCTCGCCAGTCAATTGGATCGACTTCCAAAGACTGTATTGGAGGGGAATTTTATGAAGGGATTTAAACAAGAAATCCGCACAGCGGTTAAAGTGATGAGGCCTCGTGACTTGGGAGAAGCTATGGAGCTAGCTCAATTGGTGGAGGATCAGATACACTTGGAGAGATGAATGGGAGGCAACAGTTCAGGAGGCTTGTAAAGGATGACAAATACCTTTTTGGCACCAAGGAGCCGACACCGGATACTTTTTAGGAGACCCAAAAGGAGAAGATGGTAGGTGGAAAATCTGTAAATAACTTCAAGAAGCTCACAAAAACGGAGTTATAAGGGGCTCTGTTTTAGATGTGAGGAGAGGTGTACACTGAGACAGATGCAAGGACCGAACTCTTTAGGTTCTCACCGTTTGTTCTGACGAGAAAGCTAAGGAGCGTGACATCTTTCACTTTGAGGACAATGTGGGCCTTTGAGAGGAAGGTATTGTTAGACTGGTCATTCGGCCCAGCGATTATGTGGAGCTACTGGCTATGAAGTATATTGATAAGACTTTAGCATGTTGGATGTTTGAGGTAAATGAGGTTATCATTGAAGGGGATAATGCTAATATTATCAGCTATATGCAGAATTTCATCAGAAAGGAATAATGGAAGACCCGTCCAATTGATGGCGGTCAATTTAATTGGGTGAGACATTTTCATAAAGTCCTATTTGTCCATGTGTCCAGAGAAAAGAATAAGGCTGCCCACTTCTGTGCTAGAAGGGCTATAGAGGGTTTTTTTTTTTTTGAAATGTTGTAGATAGTGATTCTTTCTGTATCCCTCAAGAATCGAGTTTTTTGTCTGATTGAGTTATACTTATTTAGTTCTAATTGAGCTCGAGCTCAAGCTCATTTATTAAGCTTAGGCTCGACTCATTAAAAAGGGTGTAGGCTTGAGCTTTGCACAATTGCTCGAGCTCATTGGAAAAGCTCGAGCTTGAAAATAAATTGTTGAGTTCTATTTCTTGGTTTAAATATTTTTTTTTTAATATATAGTTAATATACAAATATAAAAATATGTTATATAATGTTAATGCAAATTAATTTTTAAATATATTTTAAGTTTATCAAGCGGTTTAACAAGCTTTCAAGTTTGAGTTCAAGCTTATTTAATATACGAGCTTGAGTATAGGCTCTAACTTGAACTCGTGACTCGATAAGCTCGACTCATAAATTTATTAACAAGTTGAGCCTGAGCTATCTCGGCTCACTTACACTCCTATCCTATATACTCTTAGTAGTGATTTACAATCCCATTTTGCTGTTAATAGATTTATGAGTTTACATTAATGTGTTTACAATTTTTTTTTTGTACTAAAAATTTTTCTTTAGAGAATAATAAAAAAATTGTCCCAAATAAAACATAAATTATGGTGATATATATCCCACCGTTTTATTGGCCAAATAAACATCAAAGGTGTATATGAGATTCATTTGGGATAGATGTAATTATATATAAATTTAAAATTATTAAAATATGGTGGGAAAATAGGTTTTAAAAATTTATGTTAATTTTCTCTCTCAAAAAAAAGGATAATAATTTTTTTAATAATAATCTCATTCTATCATACTTGATTATAAAAAAATATTATCTCATCATAAAAACTCTAATAAATTTGGCTGTGAGTTTTTTTTTTTTTTTAATTATGATAAAATAAAATTATGAGAGATTTGTAAAGCATGACTAAGAAGAGCTATCCAAGCGCACAAACAATTGGCTTCCTTACATGAAGCCTTTCGCACGGTGGATCAGTTTGGAACAATTTTGTTGTGCTTAACTTATCTACTTAGCTGTGGGATTATATTATTTTGTTCTAGGATGACCTTTGTGGCTTTCTTAACGGTTCTTTCCGTAACAGCTAGTAAAGTAAATGTAGTGTAAATCATTTTTGTTTGTTTTTGAGATAAATTAAATTCGCATAATTTTGAGCGAGAACTATTTACATCGCAAGTAAGCTCGTTTGATATTCATCATCCAACACCATTGGCCAACGCCAATCGTTGCTGGCCACCACCCACCACTAGCCGACGCAATCCACCACCACCTGCAAGCAACCGCCACTTTTTAAACGGTCAGGTTAACAAGGGGTCAATATGGGGCTAAGCTTGGCTCTTCGAGTTTGGTTCACGTCTCACAACCATTTATTAAGTTGAGCCCGAGTTGACGAACCGGCTTGGCTAAATTGCATTATGGGGCCAATTGTAGCTTCTATTGCATAGCTTTAGGACATTGGAATTGGTCTTTCTTACCTCTTCTTTAAGGGAAAATTCAATGTTTGAAGATATTCAAATGGTTAATGCTATACTCTGAAAAAAATAAAAATATAAATACCAAAATTAATAAGAAAATTTTGCTGAGCTTAACTATGAATTTGGCACCTTTTTCCACCTGATCTTTGGATGAGCTGCAAATGAACTCATTTTCAACCTATTTGCTGATTTTATAAGTTTTTATATTATATAATATAAAGATTATATTTAAAATTTATTTATTTTATGAGTATAAATAACTAATATTCTCTAATGATATTAAAATTTTATGATTTTTAAATACTTAAGCAACTAACTTTTGTTTGGGAGGAAAAAAATGAACTTAACTCTTATTTGGAAGATATAAAATTATGCTCAAAGCTTCAAAATATCATAATATTCATAATCTCCCATTCTTCTTATAGCAATGTATATATAGGCTAGCAAGAACATTCTAGAAAGCATGTAACAAATATGTGACAAACTAGCCAGATAAACTATTCCTATGAAAAAAAAACTTTAGATAAGGTGTTCCACATCATACTCCCCTTGCGTTAGAAGAGCTCGACTCGGTCGAGGCGCGTCATTAAGAGGGAGGTAGATGTGAACATCATAATTAATCCTCTTGGGTTGAAGATTTTACATCTTTGATGCATGTCCCGACGGGCGCGCGGGCAGCCGGCGCGCGGGGGCGGGCAGCGCGGCGGGATTTGAATTTTTTTGAATTAAACGGGTTCGCGGGTTGACCCGGCAACCCGTCGGGTCAACCTGAACCCGACCCGTTTTTTAAACGGGTCAATTTCTTGAACCCGAACCCGACCCGTTTTGAAATCGGGTCGGGTTCAACCCGGATTTTCCGTGTCGGGTCCGGGTCGGATTTTCATGTCGTGTCAAATATTAACACCCCATAGATGCACCTTTACTTGGTCGAACACACCCAATTGTGCAAATGAGGATATAATAGATGAAATTGTATTTTCACCAGGTTTCAATTTCTCAGCTTACATCATCCTAAACAACTCAATTGATTTTGCAAACTGGTTTGATTGTGCATAACCCAAATCATTGATGTCCACCAATCGATATCCTTTTTAGGTATATCATTGAAGAGTGGGTGTGCTTGATTCAAATCTTCACATGTAGAATAAATATTAATTAGTGATGAACACATGTAGCAATCCATATCAACATCTCTTGTTACAATTAATGGATGATTCATCCTCCCAAGATTTAAAGATCCAATTTTTGTGCAAACTGTTAGTGCGCCAACTAGGTTGTTTGCATCCATAGTTTTGAAATGCTCTACCATATATCTAAAATCATTAAGGATTCTTCATGGAGGTGGTTGTACAGGTACCCAAATGTAATGCTATTCTATGAAAGGCGGCTGCAAGAGTCGGTTAGTGCTGCGCGGATTTGGAAGGCGGGATCGAGCTGGGTTGAATAGTGGGAGGCGTTGATCAGAAGCGAGGAGAGGGGGGCGCATGGGCGGGCTTGCACCGGTCATGTGTAGTGCGAGCAGGGCCGCCGGTCGGTTGCGAGATCATGAACCACGAGAAAGTTG